TGCACAAGTTTCCGCTGTGGTGACATCTACCTCTCTTCTTTTACGGTTTCAAAGGAAAATGAAAGTTAACACGTTGAGAGGCAAGCTATATTGGCAGAATCGCTAATTTCATGAACTAATTTGTCGTGTAACATTTCTTCCACATTTAGGTACGAAGCAGCGCATGCGTAGTTCCTGTTTAATACTCGAAAGCGTGTACAACGCTTGCAGTAATTTGTCAGTCACGCATCCAGTCAAAGCAGCCAAATATATAATATTATTATTTATTAGATAATCGTCCTTTCATAACATTATTTCATAATTAATAATAATAAAATCATTAATATTCAAGCAACGATAATCAATCAGTCTTAAAGTTATTTCCAAGAACCCGATCCCAATTCAGATAGGAAAATTTATTAAGTCAAACACAAAGTATTTCACAGCACACACGCAAAGGGAAGGCGCCTAGCAAAGCACAAATTATACACTCGTGAGTACTTGCGACCGCACTGTGAATCACCTTTATGTTGCATTATATCTTTGTACCACAGCGTCAGATTTCTAACCCCCAAGATTCGTCACTCGGAGTAAATTCGCTCCAGTATCGCTGAAAAGGATTGCACTCATCGGCCTCAAAGCGTAACCAGTATATAATTTCAAGTTGGGTAGGTTTAGGTAAGCTGCTATAATTTCTAGTTATTGAGTTGTACGTTGGTTGTTGGGGACACTGTGTGTGCAGTGAAAGTACGTGTTGGTGTTCATGGTTGAGCTGTGTCCTTAGGGTTCAAAGTGACGAGTGCTATGTCGCGAAGTGATGAGGCGTATTCGCGAATTACTCGTAACGAAGTGAACCGAGGGAATACGCTGTATAGCGACACTCACACGGATTGTCCGAGGCATCTCCAAAGCGAACCCACAACGATCTTGGACTAGAAGCGAGCCACGAGGAAAAAGCAGCTGGGGAACAGCGGAAGGTCAACATGGAGTTGGAACAAAGGCCAAAGCCTAGTAGCGACGAAGAAAGTAAGATTGTGAATTGTATTGGGGACTTGGTCGGTCGCACGTGTGTGTGAACGTAGAGTAAGATTTTTTAGTTGAAAAGAGTGCATATTGGTTGTGTGGATGTATGAGAGTGTGAAAATAGGAAGTATTTGCATAGTGAAATTGTTGTAATAATAGTCGTTGCAATCGGGGTAATTATCGTAGCGACCATCTTGGACATTTTGAGGTATACTTGGTTCGAGTCCAGATGTCGTGTGTTACGGGCTTGCGCGTGGTCATCTTGTGAGTCGGTATTCCCGCCTCAGACACTCGTGCAAGAGCAAGCGAGATAACGCGTATTACATTGCTCGGGTGTGACAAGATCGTGCGTCTGCTAGCGCAAGCCGCTTACAGGCGTACATTCAAAAGTACATTCTCGTATAGTTTTTTCGTGAACTTCTTTTTTATTTCCAACCTCGGACTGCCGAAGCTTGGTGGCAAATGACCCCTTAGGTACGATTCTAGGATAGGCTACCTGGAACCTTTGTGTATAAATAATAGGACTGCAGAGCGAGCATTGGCTAAGCCCGAAATCCTCGCACGTCTGAATATGCAATGATTTAAAAAGTACACTCGGCAACAAAATTATCGCAACAAAAAAATTCATCGAAATTTCATCGATTTTCAAATGCTTCTATCTTGAGCTAGATTTATCGTATCGACACGCTTTTTCTTTTAATTTCTTGGAAATTTTGTCCTCTTTAAATCCATATAAATTTAGATAAGATTCAAGTTAATGTTGAGTTACCAGTAGTATTTGAGCGCGACACTAAAAATTACTGAAAAAAAAAATGACTGTTTGAACGTGTACCAGTACCACAGTAATTTTTCTATGGAAATTTAACATACACCATCGCAAAGTGCTCTTTTCAACGAGTAATTTAAAAAAAAAGGACCACTCTACGATTTTTTTAACGCCCTGTAGGTCGTTTTGAAGGTACGGTTTATGTATGCAAAATGCCCAGAAAATCGTCTTGATTTCAGCTAAACGGGGGATTTTACGTACCTTAAATGGTATCTTCAAAACGACCTACAGGGCGTTAAAAAAATCGTAGAGTGGTCCTTTTTTTTTAAATTACTCGTTGAAAAGAGCACTTTGCGATGGTGTATGTTAAATTTCCATAGAAAAATTACTGTGGTACTGGTACACGTTCAAACAGTCATTTTTTTTTTCAGTAATTTTTAGTGTCGCGCTCAAATACTACTGGTAACTCAACATTAACTTGAATCTTATCTAAATTTATATGGATTTAAAGAAAACAAAATTTCCAAGAAATTAAAAAAAAAGCGTGTCGATACGATAAATCTAGCCCAAGATAGAAGCATTTGAAAATCGACGAAATTTCGATGAATTTTTTTGTTGCGATAATTTTGTTGCCGAGTGTATATTAAAAAAATGTTTCCCGATTATTCCCCCGAAAATCGATTCCCCGAATATTGATTCGCTCGAACTTTTTGGTACCCGAAAGAATTATCCTCTGAATCTTTTTTTTCCCGAAAGAATTATTCCCCGAATCTTCATTCTCACGAAAAAATTTAATTTATGGATATGAGTCAAAATAATACTTTTTTAAATTTTCGTCCGCACGTACGTCACCGTTCGTGACGCCCTTAGGTATGTTATAATACACTATAAAAAAGGGCCAAAAGTAAAATTTTGGACCCCCAATTGTAAGTCAAATTTTGAAAGTAATATTTACATAGAGATAAAACAAAAATGTATATAATTGTATGAAAATTAAACAAATTAATCGAGTTTCTTGGATTTCAACGACAACTCGGGTCGATCAATCTTGTACAATATTTAAGATTGATTTATTGGTATTCACCGAGTATAATAGCCGACTCCGGCAGCTCGTCGCAGGAGTCACGCTTACAAAAAGCAAGTCAGCCAGCCGATAGGCCACAAACGCACCTGAGCGACAACGAGCCAGGGTTTCCCCACGACCGTCGTCTTACCGTCGTCAGCGAGCCGAGAATAAATTCTCCGACCGACAACCTGTAAGTTCGCAGCGAGCTAAGAGAAAATTTCTTCGACCGCGAAGCTCAAGTGCATCTGCACTTATCGCCAGCGTATGCCAGTGAATCGAATTGAACGCGGTGCGAGCCTCTACTTATCTCGCGGACTCGACCGCTTCGATGGCGAGTGTGACTCACCGGGCCGACGCCCTCTAGCGGTGTCGTTCTTAAACAGAGAGCAAGTAACTTCGTAGATGAACGAGCCTGCCTTTTATACTCTGACAGGGACACATGACTTGCAGAGAGTGACTATGGGTGTCAGGTCCATCTGGCGGCTGAAGCAGAAAGCGAGAAAGATAAGAAGTATTTGAGTGAAAGTGAAAGAATGATTGTTTTCGAGGAGAAACAAGTTTGACTTTTATTAAAAAAACCGTCCCTATCGAAATCAAAAATCTGTCAACAACTCGTAGAGTTGTGTCGTACTTCTGTATTGTACTTCTATATCGATATAGAAAATAACAAAGATTTTTTTATAATGTGGAAAATACTCTAAAAATGGGCCCTGAGACCCATGAGATCAAACTAAGCACAAGGAGCTTCAGCATTGGGTACCAGGAGACCGCGAAAAAATTTTGGAGCAAATCCGTGACCCAGAACTGGGGTGGTCTTCTTGTAGGTATAATAATATAATTTTTAGTAGCGCCAAGCCTGCGAATCCAAACACTCGAGATGTTGAGCAAGCTAATGTCAATACATTGACGTCCTCTTGGCTTCGATTATGAAAATAAAGTCTCTATTTAACCTAATATTAAGCTAAGATAAAGAGTTCATTTACAAACTGTGGTACCCTTAAATTGAACTTGAAACAAAAAACAAAATACATATAAAAACATTAAGAAAAATTTTAAAAAATCCGAAAATATCAACTTTTGTAGTCGCAATCGCTGTCGAATTGACCAGAGAAACGAGAGCCAAGAGCTAGAGCCGATGTATTTATTTTTCTCGTTCTGGGGATGATCCTAGATACAGAGAGGTTCGGTCAATCAACCCGACAATGAGGAAAATTTGAAAAAATCACTGCATTGGCCCTAGCTCTTGGCTTTCGACTCTCTGGTCTTTTCGACAGCATCTGCGATTACAAGAGTTGAAATTCTTTGATTTTTTAAAAATTTTTTTCGTCATCGGGTTGATCGAACAAGCCTCGCTATATCTAGATCATCACCATGGCGAGAAAAATCACTGCATCGGCCCTAGCTCTTGATTCGCGACTCCTTGGCCGATTCCGGAGCGTCTGCGATTACAAGAGTTTAAATTCGTCGTCGGTTTGACTTAACTAGCTGCGCTGTATCTGGATCATCGCGGAGGCTAATAGACAAGTCTACAGCATCTCTGTCTATTTAAAGTAAAGTTTAATTATCGTTCGAAGTCTTTGAAAGTAGTAATGTTAATTTTTTTGTGGTTTTTAAAATCACATTTGTCAGCGATTTAACCTAGCCAATTATGTATCTTCTTGATCATCGCCAATGCCAGACGACATCTCCACATCATAGCTTTCGATAAGCCGTCGAGTTTTCTCATCAGTGGACAATACCAGCAAGTTATTTGCAGTATTTTTTTTTATTTAAATTAAGTTATTTCGTTGTTTCGTGCTTTGTTATCGTCATGACAACCGGCGTGAAGGATTCGGCCAGGACTTTTCATTCATCAGAACCGGAACTCGGAAACCATTGGTTTTTAAGAAAAACGCAAAAGAGGGTTTCAATCGCAAATTTCTCGTAGAATATGTCTGTTCATTTTATTTGACTACTTTCAAATCACGTTGTATGAATACATGTAGAGATTTTCCAAAAACCAGGCTACCTCAATGTTTTACCCGCACTAGTCGTGAAAGGAGGCAAATTGTCATAATAAATTAAATTAGTTACAACCCTCGTGGTTGTAACAGAAGTTTATATTTTTGCAAAATAACTAAGATTTTTGGAATTTGCTACAAAAATTGGATAAGATAAATCACTTACCTAGCCAATCACAGACGATAGTCTCTAATTCCGTACATGCAGGAGAGGCTGCCTGAAAATTCAAATTTTGTTGAGAAAATTACATTACTTTAATTGTAAAAAATTTTGTAACTAGTGGCAACTCCAGTTGCAGAATGCTGAGCACATACGTATGAATAAACGGGTGCATGATATTGATACAGTGCCATAATTATATAAAAAGTAGTGAATTTAGTACGTTATATCAACGAATACATTAACAAAAAATCAGAGGATCGAGCATTGCAATTCTAAGGACTTTTTATCATAAACTGGATATTGAATATTCATTAAAAGTTTTGTATTCTCATGTGCGACTATAAATTTGCAATTTTTATTTAACATTAACATGCGGTTATACATAATAAATAATTTACGACAATTAAAGACGAACGAATAAGGCTCTCGAATATTTTATTCTTAGTTCACTCTAACATTATTGTATATCTAAAAAACATAATTTCAAATTTAGATATATTGATTTAGAGAACAGTGATTCAAACGTATTATAAATATATTGACGATCGACGTACGCATAACACAGAAACGTTTAACAAAAGGGTCAGATATGACCTACATATACATTTTACATATTTATTCAGACGATGTGCATACAATGGTGAAACAACGAGTTAAAATTTGTATACAATTGCATAAAGGAACAAGTCGAACCGATTAAAGAGTGGTTTTGGACAGAATTTGTAACAGGAACTCGACATATAATATCAGCGAGAGGACACACATAGTATAGCTGTCACGGTATTTTAGTGAAAATTAATCAAATTTCAATTTTTCTCGAAGATTTTCTATGAACTTAATTTTTTCACTAGTTATACGTGATTTCGATATAACATCGAAACGTTTTCTGTCGTAAAAAGACGAGAACAACAAATTTTTAATTCTTTTAACTCTACTCAGAGCCACATATGTAAGCCCAGAGCAGAACTCTTTCTGGCCAATATCGACGACTACTGAGGGCAGGGTCAATCCTTGAGATTTGTGTATGGTTATTGCATACGCTAAAGGAAGAGGAAACTGTTTACGTCTGAAGGTCACTCCTTTATTTTCCCAGCATCTCAAAATCGGAACGACGGGAAATAAATCCGATACTACGTATGGACCTTCGTATGAATCAAATTTGACCATTATGCAACGCGGTAAGTTAGGCGGAACGACGCCTGCATCGTACAAAATAGCCACTACAGTGCCTATCGAACCATTAACCAAACCGCCAGCAACCCAAATATTTTGCCGTAGTATGACTCTAAGGCCGACCGTCAAAAATAGCTGCGACTCGAGTCCACAAGTATCTACAGTACCACACACAACGTTTGGTTTATTTATTGACTTTATACATGCAACCGGATGGCCAAGAGTTCTCCAACGAAATAGATTATGTTCGTTAACTAATTTGTTTGTTGGTAACAAATTTACGGCGTCGTCGAAAGCGCTCAACTCATCACAGGATACAATGGATCGACGTCTATTGGCTAGTAATTTATAATCAGCAGTTCCACAAGCTACTCGTTCTAACATTTCTGCGAAAATTACGTCGCCATCCTGTCGATGTGTTGTCGTTAATTCCACAAATTTTTCAAATGAATTAAAAGCAATTGAACCGCTTACAGTTTGCGAATCTTTCGGCGTATTGTAGTATAAAGGCGAATCTTTTACCGGCGGCAATTGTTTGAAATCGCCAAACATGTATACGAACAGCCCGGCAAACGGTTCATCGCTAGTCGGGAATAAATCGTGACATCTCTTTTCGATTTGATGCAATAACCTACCTCCAACCATAGACATCTCGTCAATTATTACAAATTTAATATTTTTATTACTAAGCTGGTACTTTCGCAGACTTTCGCCGCTTAAGGGCTCGAATTTGCTGGAGAATAAAGGTAGCTTAAAAAATGAATGGATCGTTGTACCGTTAATATTCAACGCTGCCGCACCTGTAGGAGCTAATAAAGCAACGCTATTATCACCAAACGATTGAACTATTTCTCGAACTAACATACTTATAATCGTACTCTTACCCGAGCCGGCTTTACCTTGAACAATAATTCTCATGCAAATATGATCAGTTTTATCGAATTTAATGTGATCGATTTGAGCCTTGCATAAGTCAAACACTTTTTGTTGATCAGACGATAGTCTTATTTTTTTTTCTTTTTTTTGAACAGCGCAGACGTAGATATATTTTTATATTTACTCAGAAACTCCGTAACTTCTAACGTAGATGGATATTTACAATTATCAGACGACCAGTCGAGTGTCACATCAATCAAACGTTGCCCCAATGATTTATCTAAATTTTCATTAACTGTCGACGATATTAATTCGAAAGTGTTGCGTCGTTTTTCATCATTCTCTTCTTCATTATCACTGTAGCATTCTTCACCCGAATTGGTCATATCTAATGAATTTACCGGTGACAGCTCATACTCCGTATATAACGAGTACCACTTTTGATATTCGCTGTTAATATGTTGAACTAAATTTTCAACGTTATTTCGAAACGGTATTTGCAACATGCATTGCTGTTTATAATACAATTCAGCAGTCTCAAGATCGCCTTCCACGTACTTCGGATAAACAATGACAATTTTTTCCTTAATATTTTTTCTGTACTTCAATCCTACCGTTGTTATAGTTTTGACAAATTGCAAAAGACTCAAGTTTTCGTACTCTGCAGGCCTCGTTATGTACTTGTCAATAACTGACTGTATATTTTTACACACTTTGTCTTCAGTACACTGCGAAAAAAACGTTCATTTGAATACAACGTAAAAGGAAACAACAAAGGAACAAAAAACAAAAACAAACAAAAAACAAACAAAAGAAAAAAGGAAATGATCCCACATTACCTGCATTTTTCGCCATTCCGATTTATCAGTGTTGAGGTATACGAAACTTCTGGTTGCAGAATATAACGGCCAACTCATAAGCAAATGTGCAACTTCTTGGGCAGAGTAATCTCTTGTGGAAATATTAGTCTTTACTGAGGGCCCAGGGTAGGGCTAAATAAGAGATTATGTTGGTCGTTGCTGCTGCTGATGCTGCCGCTGCTGCTATCTCCGCTGCTGACTTGCCGTCGCAGATAGGTGGCCAAAGCTCCACACTACTTTGGCCGAATATGATTCGCGTGTGCAAACGCAGGGGAATAGGAAGAGATGAGGAAGATTGAAATAATACAACTGACTAAATTAACAAGCCAGTTTATTGGTTGGAATTGTGTCTCGCTGTTTGACTCTATACAGCTTGCTGGTCAGACACGCACTCGTGTGCTCGGCACTCCGAGCCAGTCGCGACACCGACGGTGGTGCGCACGAACCGAGGCACGGTGTGGCCAAACGGCCCAAAAGTGATATAAATTCGAGCTTTGCTCGAATATCATTGACAAAATTAATTAAAAATCATTTTTAGTAACTTGAGATCATTAAGAATGCAATCCCGTTGCATAATCTGAGTTATCGCATCCATAGATATAGTATGCTTCGTCGTCTCTTGGCTATATATTTTTGCTTGATAATCAAAAAAACTCGCGAATGTTTAAAGATGATATTTTTTTACTAAAACTGTTCAATCGAAATTTAGAACAGTGAACTTGAAAGCTCTTGACTAGAACTTTACAATGATATATATATTTTATGCGCTTTGTTGGTATTTGAACATTTTTTAACGTAATTAATCCAAAGAATGTTCAGGATGGCACAAAATATGAAAACTTCTGAATTTCACGCATAGCAAGCGTAATAAAAAAATCGACAACCACATTTCTCACGTATTTTTTGACGAGGAATCGAATGGTGACCTTGGATTTGACCTTGAACGTAACGTCGAAGCTGCAGCGAATCAAAAATCGATTTTCAAATCGGAACCCCAAATTTTTAATGTATATTTGAAAAGAGCGAAAAATTTCATGTCTGAATGAGCCTTTTACTTTTTTTCAAGGTCATTCCAAGGTCATTCCAAGGTCATTCCAAGGTCATTACTGACAGATTTTCTAATAAATACCGTATCAAAATACTTCCAAATTTTACAATATCTACCTCTAGGACATTAACGAAAAACTAATAAATAAAAATTAACTCAAGAGTTATTTACATCAAAAAATTAAACGTTTTTATTTTTTTACTAAATATCATCATCACTTGAACTCTCATATAAATCAATTTCATTTTGAAAATCAATTTCCATGACATTTTCTTCATCTTCTTCATCTGTACCTTCATATTCTTCATCTTGATCTTCTACATCTTGTTCTTCATCGTCTCTTTCATTGGGTAAATTATTATTTTCAACTAAAATTAACAATCTTCTAACATCTTCCTTCATGGGCCTAATTTTTTTTTTTTAGGCTTTCTTGACAAAGATATTAGTGGATCTGAGGCTGCTAATAGTCTGTGGAATATATCCGAGTTCGTGTCAACCCTATAAAATAAGAAATATTTTTTAACTGTCATTAAAAAATTAAATGAAATATTTATAATTATCTTTAATTATCAATCGTTAAAAAAGTTGAGAGCAAGTAAACAAACTTTGGGAAATAAACTTTATCCTAATATATAAAGATAACGGTGATATGAATGACATACCTCGAGGTTTTTCTCGAATGAAATTGTTTAAAACTTTTAACATTTTTATTATTACTTTCTTGGGGTTCTTCCGAAAGAAGCCCAATAGGTAATAATAATTGATCCATAATTTGGTATCCATGCATCAGGATCACATGCACAGATGTGGCCATTGGATACCACGAATATAACCCATTGTACATGAGTGCGGTGTCGAAGCAAAATTGTTTAAACGCTTCCACATTTATTTTATGGAAGGAAGAAATAGTTGTAAGGATTGTATCGAACCTATCCAGAAGAGCCAAGTTGAATCCTATAATTTTATTTGATTTTAAATTTATGTAATTATAACAATTAAACTTAAATTATTATTATTAAGAGGACAGACTGGCTTCTCAATAATAAAATGAACGTTTCAAATATTTTGATTAAGATGAAAAACCATTTTTGAATTTCA